ATGATAAATTTTATGTGCATTTTTTTTTTAACAATTTTTAAAAAAGAGCTTGCCTTAAAAGACCCCAACCCTCTACCTGGGCCAAGCACCTAATCTTGCCATCTCTGTCTTGGCCCTAAATTTGGGGTGGGGATGGGGGATACTGTGAACTTGGGTAGAAAAACATTTACATCTTTAATTTCACTGAGCTCTAATTAAAATATAGTGTTTCCTTATCATGAATGTAAATAGCAGATCACAGAAGTATTAGCAGTATCTGAGGCTCTATCACCAAGAGAAATTAGATATTTTCTTGTAGAATTTAAATTGCAAATATCTTCAAATATTGTTTATGTTTATAAGGAATTCCAAGCTATGCGAGTTAGGCTGGCTACCTGTGAAAACGCTACCTTACATGGCAAAAGGGATTTTGCAGATGTGATTGAATTAAGGGTCTTGAGATGGGGCGATTATCTTGGGTCATCCAGGTGGACTCAATATCATCACAAGGTCGTTTTAAAAGAGAGGCAGGAGGGTCAGAGAGAGATTTGAAGATGTTATTCTGCTGGCTTTGAAAATAGGGGAAAAGGCCATGAGCCGAAGAACGCCAAGTGGCCTCTAGAAGCTTGAAATACAAGGGAAAAGATTTCCTTCTGGAGCCTCCAGAAGGAGCGCAGCTTTGCTGACATCTTGATGTCAGCCTTGCGAGACCCTTCTCAGACTTCTGTCTTCCGGAATTGGAAGATAGAGATGTGATGTTTTAAGCCACTAAGTTTGTGTTAGCTTGTTACAGACAGCAGCCCTAGGGCACTGATACACCGCAGGGGTCCAGAATGTTGCGGTGAGCAGAGACACCAGACAGAAGGCAGGTCGAGGGTTTTGCTTACGTGCTTGTCTTCTGGGAAGCGGTACCTCCTCCCTGACCTTACAAAATAACATAGTTCATAGAACAATCGTTACCCTCAAACAGGACTCACTCCTAGCACCACCGATAGCCTAGCCTAGCCTATGCACTGATAGGCTTGAACTCAACCTATTAAAAACTCATGACCCATGGAATTCACCTCTGCGTAACAGTTACTCCTCGATTTAAGAAATGATGGAGATGGACGTTATTTGGGTCCCTAGGCTTTTCTCCAAATAGGCAAAGTGAATGTCCTAAGGCTGGATGGTTCGGGGCAAGCTCGTTCCTGGCAATTCAAGATCGCCGGGACTGTGAGGGTCTGAGGGCAAAGGTCGGGAGTGAGGGCTCTAGACCGCCATAACCAAGGAGCTTCTGAGAAAAGCAATGTCCAGCGTTCCGTGTTAATTTGCCTCCATCTGGAACTCTGACTCACCCATTTGCCCCACCTGTTACCTCTAAAGGTTTATAAGTCTCTTTCCGAAACACCTTCATTTTAGTGACATGCAGAAGAATAAAGCTTTGATTTCATACAGAAATCGTCTACCTTTCTACTGGGATCTTGAAAATCTTGGTTAAAGCCCATATAGATGTGACTAATTTAATTTTAAGGATATCCAATAAATGTGAAAATCTTATAAAAATGACCTTAGGCTAAATAGTACTACTGTTCATTTTGTTTACTTTGCATATGAGGAAGATACTCCTTTAACCTTACAGATAAGCACTGGCTGACCTGAAAAGTGTAAGTGCTTAAGAAATGCAGGCAGGTGAACTGTGTTCACCTGTGTTCCTGGCTTCCATCACTTAGGGGAGGGGGCCGGGGGCACAGTGGCGGGATTCTGAACATGTTGGCAATAGGTGACTTATCGGGTTACACAAAGCTCATGAGTTCTGAATGGCTACCTAGCCCTCGGGGGTATGGGTGGGTCTCAGGCTGATTTTGACAACTCAATGTGTTTCTTTTAAAAGGTCTTCCAGTTACACGCGGGTGTAGGTTCAAATGCAATTACCACTATACTTGACAACACCAAATAGTAAAGGGTACGTGCATGCTGCACAGTGGCAGAGTTTATTAATGTGTTATAGGCAGAATCATGTCCCCCGCCCCCCAAGATGTCTACGTCCTAATGCCGTGAACACGTTACATTACATGGCAAAGGGGAGTTAGGATTGCAGATGTACTTGAGGTTACTGATCACATGACCTTGAAATGAGGAAATTATCCTGGAGAATCTGGGTGGACGCAATGGGATCACGGGGTTCTGAACAGTGGGGGAGGAGGGCACAGGAGAGGGGAGAAGGGAGGCCACGTGAGAAGGACTCAACTCGTCTTTGCTGGCTGTGAGACAGGAGGAAGGGGCCACAAGCCAAGGAGTGTGGGAGGCCTCGAGAAGCTGAAAGAGGCAAGAAAAGGGGTCCTACAGAGGGGTCCTTGGCAGAGATTACAGAAGGGTAAGCGTCCGTCCCCTTGGTTTTAGCCTGGTGAGGCCCACGGCAGACTTCCAGCCCACAGAACTAGAGGGTAGGACATTGGCGTTGTTTAAGCCGCTGACTTCGTGGCAGCGATAGTAAGCTAATAATACTGTTTCGGAAGGTGAGCCATGGGCTGCCTGGAGATGACAAGCAGAGCCAGTGTGGAAACTGGACTTTCCCGACAGCCCCTTAGCCAGGGTACAAGCTTGATAAATGACAAATCAAGAAACAAAGATGTCACGTACACGTACGGCGATTCTCATAGATTTTCACAGGGTTCAAGGATCCTCTACTATTATCTACTACTGTAGCACAGATTATTTAAACCATAGTGATTTAAAATAATAGTCATTTACTATCTCTCGGAGTTTCTGTGAGTGGGAAATGCAGACAAGGCACAGAGGGCACAGTCTGTCACACACTATTGCGTCTACGGCTTCAGCTAGAAGACTTGAAGCTTAGGAGCTGGAATCTTCTGAAGGACCTGTTATTCCCACGCAGCCCGTCCATGTGGCGTGGGTCCCCTCACGACATGGCGGTCAAGAGATCCTTGGCAGGTGTGTGAGAAGGAGCTGGAGACATGTGGGGATTAAGTTGCCAGGGGCACGGAAGAGACGGTGAGGAGGCGGTTACATGTGAATTTGTTATTCAGGGGTGAGGTCTGGGCTGGATATAAACGTAAGGTCTATTATCCTGTATATGATATTCAAAGCCGAAGGACAGAGATGCGTGTATAGAAAAGAGGAGAGGCCCGAGGATGAGCCTCCTGGGACTTAGGGAAGTGAGAAGCAATTGCGAAAGGGACAGAGAAGCCACGAAGGTCATGGCAGAGCCTGTTATCCCAGCAGCTAGACAAGGGGTTTCAAGGACAGGGAGTGATCCATGGCTGCTGAGAGGTTCAGGAAAATGAGGCCACTTGCCCATGTCTCAGTTATTAGTTACTTATGATCAGGGCATATCACGGATGGAGGGAATTCTGCCTAATTGTGTCAGGGCCCCTGCTGGGACTTGGCAATGGGGAGGAAGGAGTCACAAAGGCCCAGGATGTTGAAGATAGTTGGCACAGTTGTCTGGGAGATTCGTGAGCCCAGAGACTGCAACCCGACCAGGCTGGATCCCGGGTGTGTAAGCCATACACGAGCTGCACGTGGACCAGGTGAAGGCTCAGCTGGCCTCGATCGGGGATGCTGGAGCTGCTGACTTGTTTCCTAATGATGGGCGAGGGACTCGGCGGGTGCGCGCAAACCGGGCACGTCTGGACCAGTCCCATGTGCATCAGACCGTCCTGCGAGCCCACTGTGCGCTGCGCCACTGCGCAGAGTCCAGCTCGGCGGGGGTTGGGGTGGGGGCGGACAGGCGAGGCGCTGCGGACCCACGCGGCGCTGGCGGCGGCTCGAGATCCATCTCTTCCCCTACCCCCTCCTCCCCCTTCTCTTAAAGGAAAAGGACGTCCAGGGAGCCCCCGCGGCATTTCATCGCTCCTTCCTCGCATCTGTGCGTAAACTTCAGTTCACTCGTGCAGTGTAAACACCCACGCCCCGGGAAGAGCACTCACGTCGCTTTCGGAAAAGGAGGCAGAAAGTTAAAAATGATGAGGAGGGGCGCCAACAAAGTGCCACTGAGGGACACTGGCGAGTCGCACAGGCGCCTCGAGCCAGCCGCTCGGAAACAAACAAAAACAGGGGCGGGCGGGGGCGCGCAGCGC